CAAGCAGCAATTGTATATGCAGATGATACAACATGAATTGCAAGCAGTAAAGAGCAATTGTTAGAAATCTTAGAGATAGCTGAAGAGTTTTTTGAAATAAATGATATAGAAATAAATGGATCAAAGTTAAAACTAATAACAATGAATACAAAAGTTTAAAAAGAAGAAAGAACAGTAATATATAGAAAAACAAGATAATAGAAGAACCAAGATATAAAATAGTTTGTTTATTAAGAATATAGTTAAACAACAGAATACAAGAAATATAAGTAAAGAAGAAGGCAAAAGGAATAGTAAGCCAAATAATAAGAGATATAAAATATAAAAAAATGCCAATAAGTCAGATTGTATATATAAACAATATGGAAGTAAGTCAATAGAAAAAAGACAAATTATTTTTAGTAAAATTTTTTTAATTTTTAAATTTAAATAACTCAACAACTATTTAATCAAATCTGCTAAAAATATTTTTATTTTAATCTTAAAATTATATAAAACTAAAATAATTATTAAATTTAATAAAATATTTGTTAAGATATTTAAGCTTAAAGTCAAAAAAACTTTTATTTAGAAAAAATTTGTTCTTTTTTATTAACTTTCTCTATATGATAATAATATCCAAACTAAGCTATATGTTACAGCTAATGAAGATGTCAGACAGAAGCCTAAACAAAATACATCAACCAATAATAAGTCTAACAAAACAAAAAGCAGCCTACAACAAATAGTAAAAAACTGTATAATAGAGCATAAGAATTTTGGCAGCTGTAGAACATTGTAACAAGTGTTAACTATAAAGCAAGTAAGTGGTCTCTTAGCAAGACTGAACAGATGAGACAGCCTTGGGCAGCTAATGAGGCTAAAAATAACACAAAACTGTTAAAAAGCAGAAGACATGTAAAAGACAAAAAAGCAGCCAGAAATTGAAACATATTTGAAGAATAATTTAGCATGTCTTATAATACTTAAAGCAAAAAAACTTAAAATAAATATTAGAACAAAAAGTAAACTATAGACAATGTTTGAGTATAGTGCTAAAATATAAGAACTAGTAGATACACAATTGTAGAAAAAAGAAGCAGTTAGAGTAAATGAAGCAGGTTTAATATATCTAAACCAATTACTCAACACAAAAGGAGAGAAGTTGATTACATAGTAGTGACTAAAAAACTATCAAGACCAATCAAGTAAAGGAAAAAAAGCAGAATGGTTTAAAGCAATTAAATTAAAAGTGCTTAGCAGCCCAGAAAGTAAAATAGTACAAAGATACTTTAGAATAGGTAAACAGAATACTTAGGCAATGCAAGTCTAATAAGAACATATATCAGAAGATAGAAGAAGAAAAAAATAGATAGTATATAGTACACAAGATTACAGACAGCTTAAAAAGGTGGTTAAAAAGAAAAAGAAAAAAGTATTACTTGAACATTGGCAAATGAAAGGCAAGAAGAATAAAGTAGCAACTAAAATCAACAGATGTGAAGAGTGTATAAAAGAGAAAGAACAGATAGAAAACTGTTGCCAGCAATAGATAAGAATAAATAAAAATATTAATATGATTTCAGATAAATTAATAAGAAAGAGCAGCAACCAAATTAAGATAGCAATAGACTAAATAATAGGCAAGACAAAAATAGACAAACCAGAAACAAGTGAATGCAAGCTGAAAGGTCTTATAATGATAGAAGAACTAGAGATAAAGATCGTTAAATAACAGAAACTAGAAAAAGTTATCATTCAAGAAATAACAGAAGTTCTGAAAAAAATATTATAAGAGATAAGAACAAATATATAATATATACTAATGGTGCAACTAATGCTAAAGATAGCATTTAAGAATAATATAGGTATAAGATAGGTTCAAATAAATGAAACACAAGAATGTTCAGAAGAAGAAGTAGCACTTGAACTAGATGGATGGCAGACATTGATGATAGCAAAGTTGGTAGCAATTTGGGTAGCAATTTTAATGATACCTAAAGAGAAGCAAATAGAGATATATACTAACAGTAATGCCACAATAAAAAACATTAGTAGAGGTTTAGAACAAGCTGACAGAAACAAGTTTATTAAGAAAAAGAATGCAATATGGATAATGAAAATTAAAGACCTTGTTAAGATGAAAAATATTCAGATAAATTTAGTCAAAGTAAAAGTTATAGTAAAAATAAATAGAATAATAAAGCTGATAGTTTAGCAAAAAAGAGAATGATGAGTAAGAAAACAATATAGGCCAAAAAAGTTAGTTGTAAAAAGATAAAGTACTGTTTAGAGTAAGAAAACAAATAAACTGACATACTAGCAAGACTGCTTTGCAAGTTAGTAATGAATGCAAAACTAGAAGCAGAGTAGAAAGAAATAAGAGCAGTTAAAGGTTTAGAGCCAAAAATAGAAATTACAATTTATGATTAAACTTGTTTTTGAAAAAGGTTAAAGATGACAAAGGAAATACATTGCATAACAAGAAGAAGCAGTTTCAGAAAAAGTGTATTTATTAAGTATATAATAGATAAACTTCCAACTTTGGAAGAACTTAACAAAAAAAGGCCAGATATATATACAATAATAGAATGCCAAGTATGCCAAGATTAAGTAAAAGAGATGCAAACATATTTGACAATATACAAGAAACAAAAAAGTTTCTGAAAGAGAATCCAAAAGTGACTATTGCGACAGCATAGAAGAAACTAAAAGAAGAGGAACAAATTCAGATCCTCCTATATATGTTATATATGGCACTTTTTGGGAAAACAGAAATGAAGAAAGTAAAAAGAAGAAAAGTACTAATAAGAGGCCTAATCCTAAAAGAAACACAAAACAAACTAATATAGCTTCTAAACATAAAATCAAAACAGCAGTTTGTGAACACAATAGCAATAACAGCCTAAGATATATTTTATAAACAAGTATAGAGAATACATTGTAAAAAAATTAACAAACAGGAGAAAAAAGGTGGAATAATAGATAAAATCAGAAAAAAAAAAGATGTAAAGCTAAAGAAACCAAGAAAAAGAGAAAAGGCAAATCAAGAAAAAATAGAAAAAAAGAAAGAAGAATTAAAAGAAAAAGGAAAGTAAGTTGAGAAAGAAGTAATGAAGACAATGTTGAAGCTTGTTATGAAAGAGAGGAGACACTTTTATTATGAACTTTAAATAGTCAGACAAGTAGCTTACTTCTGTTCGAAGTAATGTGACAGGTTGCACTTAGATATTATTAAGATGGTTAGGTGATGCTAGACTTGGAAATTAAGTATATTTATGTAGTTACAAGTATAATTCCAAAATCTTAATAAAGTACTAGCATGACTACTTATAATAAAAAAAATAATAATAATAATGATTTATTGTTAATAATTATATTATTTGCTAATATTTAATAATATTAAAAAATATCTTCTATTATAATAGTTTACTAATATTTAATGATATAGATAAATATGATTATATTATCTTAATTATTTATAGAGAATATTTTAGTTAATTAAATATATTTAATGCAATATATGATAATATTTATTTATTAATAATTAAATTTGTAAAATATTGGTTTATAATATTTTGTAAATTTAAGAATAATATAATGTATATTTTTATATATGAAAATATTACTTTATTATATAATATTTATTTATTAGATGTTTAAATTTACTTTAGCTGATATTTATTTGATATTTACTAATTTAAAATTTATTATTTAATATATTATTACATCATATTGAAATATACAATAAAATATATAATATTTTTTTAACATCTTTTTTTAACATCTTTTTTTTATTTTTTTATTCTTTTCTCTTTATCTTCATCTTATTTTTTCATTTTCTTTTACCTTTTTTTTGTACTACATCTTTATTTTTACTTTTACTTTTACCTTTACCTTTATCCTTACTTTTACTCTTACTTTTATCTTCATACTCACCTTTACTATTATCTTCATTTTAATTATTATCTACTTGATATACTTGCAGATCTTTTTCTTCTTTTATTTGTATTAATTTATCAGTCCTTACTGTAGGTGTTTTTGGTCTTGTTGTTGATGGGCTTGCAATTGCTACAGCTGATATATTTGCTGTTGTTACTGCTAATATTTTTGCTATTATTACTGCTAGTATTTTTGCTATTGTTGTTACTAGTATGCTTACTGTTGTTTTTCTAGTATGCTTGCCGTTATTGCTATTAGTATGTTTACTATTGTTGCTGCTAGTATGCTTGCTGTTGTTGCTACTAGTGTGCTTGTGATTATTGCTGCTAGTGTGCTTGTGATTATTATTACTAATGTGCTTGTAGTTGTTGTTGTTATGGTTTCTTAAAGACTTAATAAAAAAGAACTTCTTTTTCTTTTTTCTATTTCAGTTTTTTTTTATTTTTTTTATATAATATAACTTTATTATTATCATTATTATTATTTTTTTTTTTTTTACTAATTTTATTTACACTAACTCTATCTTTATTCTGCTTACACTTGGCTTTTTTTTTTCTTTTAGGTCTTCATCTTTAGTAAAATAATCTGTATCAAATTTTGGTTCCAAAATATTATAATAATTTAGTGCATCAACTAATAGTGCCTAGTTAAAACAATCCTATAATGAAGTCCTTTTCCTATTTATATAACCTTTGTAGTATTGTTTGTACATTCTATTATTTTTTGGTTGAAGAGACTTCACAAATAGATCAATACATTTGTAAAACAACCTTTTTAACTAAATATTATATTAGTATTAAAAAGATAGCTTATTGTTTAATATAACTATAAAAAACATATATTATTAGATCTATATATACTCTTTTTAGACCATACATGTTTGAAAGCAAAATGAAACTAAATGGGAAAATAAACTACAACAGCAAAACAAACAAACTTAAAAAAGGTTTTAAAGCAAGAGCACTTGCTTTTGTTACAAAAAAAGATCTTTTAAAACTTTTAATGATACAAAAAGCTTTGGCATTATAACAAAAAAATAAAAAACAACAACAAATACTAATAAGAAAAACATCAAAAACATGAAGCCTATACAAGTAGAAGGCAATAACTCAGATTCACTAGAACATATCAACAAAAGCAACCCTAGTTAGAATGAACAAATAGCTCAAGAAACTAAAGAACTCAAGGAAATAACAAATACATATAAGGAAGAACTTAAAGAAAATAGAACATATATAACAAACAAAAAAATCTTATTGGTAGAAAAAAATGACAACAATATAGCAACACTTGTAGAACAAGACAACAATATTTTCATATACAATGAAGAGGTTATTGAAGGCAATATACTTAATGAAAAAGTTTTTGAAATTAGTATATGTTATGAAGATAACAACAATACAACAATTTGTAATAAAGAGGTTTCTAAGACTAGTACAGATAACAAAGACAATATGAAAACAACAACTTAAAATAAATCAATGAATGAACAAAAAGACTCCACTTTAAAAAGGAATACAACTTCTAGCTCTAGTAGAATAACTGAATTATTAGTTTTCTCACTTTTCTTTTGTTGTTTTTTTTTTTGCTCTTAAGCAGCCATGCTAGTACTTTATTAAGATTCTTGCAACTATATACAATAACTATATAGAATTTTCCAAATAACTAAGTCTAGCATCACCTGACCACCTTATTAGTACCTAAGTGCGATCTGCTGCACTATTCCAGTTAGAGGTAGACTGCTTATCTGACTACTTAAAGCTGTATCAGAAAGGATTTTTCTCTTCCAGGACAAGCATTAACTGTCTTCAATCCTTTTTTTAAATTCTTCTTTTTTCTCAAAGGGCTGAAAAAAGAGAGGTATTATAAAATTGAATACAAATAAGAACATGATTAAAAAAACCAAAAGTAAACAAACAAAACCCAAATCAAAACAAAACAGTAAAACAAACATGTAATAGTAAAAAAAAGAAAAAACAAAAAGAGGGCTGAAGCCTCAGCCAGAGCAAATTGTAAAAATTATATAGTACTGCTACTTCTAGTCTCTATTCTAGAAATAGGTCTATACTATATATAAATGTTATTTGATGATAGAGATGTCAGTGTTTAATTTCTTTCCTACCAGTTCTACAGTTGACCCTTTCACTTCGCTTAAAGCTACTCATAATTCCATAAAAGAGTTAATTTTCCTATTCTCAAAATAGATGATTTCTGTAGATCTTTTATAGGGGGTACGCTAAATTCCCACTTTTTGTAAAAACTTCTATCAAAAACCAAGCGAGGAATATGGTAGTGGTGTTTGGTTAGCAGGTATTCTTGAATTTCTAGTGAATGTGTTAAAAACTTGCTTATTGTTCTCCTATAAGGCCTACTATTTTAACTTCATTAATAGAAGCCAAAACTTCTACTAAAATTTTTTATACAAGAGCACTTTCTGCCAGTTATCTTGTATATGCATGCTTTTAGTTTGCTTGCTAAATATATAAAGAAGTCTAGTGTAAAAGAACCACTTTGACCTTTATAAAAACTATTATTTATATAGTAGCCTTTTTTACTTTCTCCAATAAGTTTTCTATTTTTGTTGATGTAAAATTCGGTATAAGTGATCATCAGAAAGAGTTGGAAATCTATGTTTCTTTTGTTGTTTACTCTTTGTTTTATACTTATTTGCTATATTTTTCTATTTCTTTTTGCATTCTACTTGATTTTATGCCTTATCTAAAAAATTATTTTGAACCAATTTTTATCTTTATAATTTAGTTAGTTGATTACTTCTTTTTTGTTTTGTATAGTTAAATGATACTTTAATCTAATTATTGTCTTTTATAAAAACTTCTTTGATCTTTGTAATATGTTTATTTGCATTAAACATTTATTTTATTATATTAGTTCTTTTTTTTTTTGTTCTACCTAAAACATTATAAGCAGGAATTATTGCAGTTATTAGTATTTTGTTGTTATATAGTCTATTATTTAGTGTTCAGATACATTGTTCTAATAATACTTTTGTTGTGTTTTTTTTGCAATATTGTTACTTTTTTTTTTTTATATTCTTTCTTTTTTTTGCTTTTTTTAAACTTGAGTTCTATTATAAGGTTTTTTATTTCTCTTTGCTTTTTCTGTATTTTCTCTTGTACTATATTTTTTAGTTTTTTATCTGTAATTGTCTTTTTTTTACCTGTTTTGTATATTTTATATTTTTCTTCAATTTTTTCTTTTTTCTTATTACTTTTTGTTATAGATATTTTTTCAGTTTTGTTTATATTTTTTACTTTAGTTTCTTTTTGCTGTTATATGTTTTTTTTCTATTTTAAAGCTGAAGTTTTTTAATTTACTTTTTCTGTTAACTTATATAATAACTTTATTTAGTGTTTTTATTGCTATTATATCTGCTACATCTGTTACAAAAAGTAATGCTATATATTTGTTTGTTCTTGTTTCTATAATATTTATTATTTTTAGTACTTTGACTAGTTTAGTATTTCCAATACTTTGTAAGCTTTATGTCATTAATCTTTTTAGCATCTTTTCTAATAAGCTTCTAGGGCTTATTTTGTATATATTTTTTTCTATATTTGATTTTTGTTGTTTTATTTATTAGCTGGTTTGGTTTAGTTATTTTTATAACATATGCTTATCTAGTAAACTAATTTAATGCATATGTTTGTTTGTTTATTTTGTTTATTTTGTTATGCTTTTTGTATAATCTAAATAATCTATATAATAAAGTTATAATGATTTTTTAAAATTCTTACAAAATTTTTATTTTTATTGAAAATTTTGTATATTTTTGTATTATGCTACCTTTAAGCTTTTTTTATTTATATTTTTGTTTTTAACTAAATATAACTTTTGTCATTTTATCTTTTTTGTTATATGTTTAAGTATTGCTTTCTAGTAGGTTTTTGTAATTTTTTATATTTTGTTTTTTGATGATTTTTGATTAAAAGATCTGCAAATAAAAGTTGTTGTTAGTAAGAATAAAAATAACTTAAATTTAAAACAGCTTGAGCTGGCTTTTAAGTCAAGCTATTCAAGCCAGCATAAGCCAACTTAGAGCCAAATTAAACTATTCAAAACTTATTTATAATTGTATTTTAAATTAATCTATAAGTATATATATTCTTTAATTAACTTAATTAATTCATTAATTGTTATATTAAATTTATTAATAGTAGTATATTAATATACAAATTAAGATTACAAATTAAATAAATTACATATTTGATTTAATATTTGATATAATAATATAATATAAAACTATTATATTTGTTTTTGTTCTTGATTTTTAGCATTACTGTATTATATAACTATCTTATATATATTAGAAATTTTTAGAAATCAAATATTATTTATACTAACTTATATAATAAAAGATAAAAATATAATAACATCTGTAAATTTTATATTTAATAGGTTTACTACATATTAACTTATAATAATAATAATATTAACTATAAACTAGTTTATAATGAAATTAAAAGCAATTATGAACTAGTTTATAATTCATTTTAAAACATTAATACTAATTATATATTAATTATATAAATGATTATAAATTAGTTTACTATATAACAAAATTTGAATTTGTTATAATAAATTAATTATTTTTTATTATAAATAAAAATATAATATGCATCTATCTAAAACTTTTTTTATACTAAGTTAATAGTCTAAGTTAATTAATTAAAAATTGCAAAGCCTATTAAGATATATCTAATAATAGTTAGATTATTTAAATTAGTTTAATAGATACAAGATATTATCAAAAAATAATTAGTTAATTATATAAAATTTTATATAAATATATTATTTATATATAAATTTTACAGAAGGTGTAGCAACCTAGTGAAGTTGTCAGGTTGTTAACTCTTCAAGTAGTAAGTTAAATGTTTAAATTCTATTGATAGCAAAATTTTAAATAATCATTTATTTAATATTTATATTATTACAACTGTTACTAATGATTAAGTTAGAATATTTGTAATGCCAATTACACTAGCATAACTGGCAAATCATAGAGCATCTGTATAACTTGTTATACGAAAATACAAATTAGCAACAGATGGTGCAAACTCTAAATAAGTTCTTGTGACTATGTAAATCTGTTAAAATTAGATAACAAGAAGTATTTTTAAGAAGACCTAAATAACAAAATAGTCAGATTTTTAATAACTTTATTGTAAAGGCTAACTCAAGAAAACAGATACCAAGTTTATAGTACCTGGTTATAGTATTGTTAACCTGTAGTTTTTCCTTTAACCACAGTAATAACAGAAGCTGCTCAACTATAGTATGATGACTATAACT